TGATATGCTTTTTACTATGTATACCTTTCATCCGTTAGTATGAGCAAGACAAATGATTCCCCGCTTGCTTTGGTACACTCTCTGATCTTTGATAAGACACCAATGTAATCTGTTTAGTAGTAAATGTAAATGTGTAAGAAACACCTATGTAATCAGATATTTCGGTATTATGATTACCTGGATAGTATGGTGGTCTTTCTCCGAGGTCTATGAGATGTGATTTTGATACGAACCGAAACCAGGTTTTGGGTATTGTTGTTGTCTCTGGAATTGGTTGTATGATGGACTTGAGGCCAACATCGATGTAGAACTCATTTTCAAGGAATTTTTGATAGTTATCTAATTGAGGACAACTATAATCTGATATGGTGTAACACTGTGAAACATGGAGGACAGACTCAATGTAACTCTGATTTGTTCGCTGTCCAAGAATTTGTATAGCATCTGCCTGTAAAAAGAGATTGTTATATGATTCGATGAATGTAGTTTCTCCATCATGCTGTTAATAAGTTGACATTAGATATGTTTTTATTACAAAACAGGGATATTTATGATTTACGGATTATGACATATTATATACGAATATACCATTTATTAAAGAGATGATTTTTTTGAAAATAACAAACTCGATGTTTTTATAAACATAAAATAATTGTTATTAATAATTTTGTTGTAAGAACTTTTATTTATACTTTCTGTAAATAATTTATTTTTTGTTATCAACATACTTTTTAATATTTAAAGAACATCGAAATATAAAATTTAGAACCTGATTTTGTTGTAATCTTTTTTGGTGACTACTTACAAATCTATCGACAGCAAGATACCAAGTCTCGTATCGCCGGACATCATGTTTCCATTTTCTCAGTATTCTAACTTGTAGCGGGCCTCCAATACCATCAGTCTTCAAGTCAGAAATGCTCGTCATGAGTTGTTTCCGTTTTCTAATAGAAAGAAATGTGTGAAAATCAGTGTTATATTCGGAAAAGAATAAGAAATTTTATAGATATGTAAATTATGTGGAAGCAGTCAACAGCAGAAGCTATTTCAAAAAGTAGTAATGGTCTTTAGAAAAGTGTTCACGAAAGGTATGACAGGTAGTGATACTATAGACCTCTGTTGAAGTAAGTTTCTGCAATAAATCTTTGAAGACAACGTTTTTGGTTTGATTCTCTTCCACTGTGTCATTGGTCTTTATTAGTATTTTTATGGAATCTGGTGATGTTGCTCGGGATAGTGCTACATAAAGTTGTCCATGTGCGAAGACGGGCTGTGACAAATAGATGCCTATTCTACGCAGTGACTGTCCTTGACTCTTGTTGATAGTCATCGCATAACAAACTTTCACTGGAAACTGTTTTCGTGAAAACGTGAATGGGAAATCTGATGATTTGTGTATGAATTTTATCCGTGGTATATATGTACGTTTTCCAATGCAAGTGCCGGTTATGATGGTTGCTTCGATAACGTTTGGTAACAATTGGGAGACAATGAGTCGGGTACCGTTACATAAACCTTCCCTCTGATTTATGTTTTTATTAACATTATTGGACAATGTATTTTAACTGTAAGCTCATGTGGTGGTATTCCTGGAATGTTTAGTTGGTTTAGGTATTCAATTGGATACAAGCCTTCCATATCTGATGTATGCTTTCCATTTGGTTCCATGATGTCTGTACTATTGTATGTTCTACCACTTGTTCTCACGATTTTTAAAATGTGGGTGTTTATTTCGTCGGCTGTCTCATTTGTAGGAGAAACTATTGCTCTTACTGAAAGATCTGCAGCAGTGGGGTCGATAAGTATACCGTCTCCATAAACAAAATCTATCAACGTCTGTAGAGAGTTTGGAGTGGCAGATATTAGGAGTGAGGATGGAATTTGTACCCAACTTGAATCACGTGGGTCGTCTTTGTCTGGTATACCTATGATTCCGTCTCCAATAGCTAGCAACCATCTTGCAAAAGCTGATGTGGACATTGAATTTTGAGTTGTTATGTCAGATGATTGTAGTCTCATGTTTGTATGTAAAATCCGAACCGTGAAATATGGCCATAGGTATGAACTCGGTAAAGTTAGTGCAATGATTTCCGAACGTGTGCTTTTTGGTACAACGGGAAGAGTCTGGCGGAAATCACCACCGAGAAGCATCGATATCCCTCCAAATGGTTGTTGATCACAATCTAGCACATCTCTAAGTGAGCGGTCCAAAAATTCAAAGCACCTTCTGTCACTCATTGGTGCTTCATCCCAAATAATGAGTGTTGTACGTTGCATAAGTTCTCCAAGGAAGGAGCGTTTTTTAATATCACATGATTTTTTGTCTGTTAAGTCGATAGGTATCTTGAATCTTGAATGTGCTGTTGTTCCAGAAGGTAGCAAAAGTGACGCAATTCCAGAAGCAGCAACAGCCAATACAATCTTTCCTATGGATCTAAAATAGGAAAGAATGGTTGTCCATAGGAATGTCTTGCCGGTACCCCCATGTCCATAAACAAACATCAGTATTTGTTTTTTGTTTTCTATGGAACTGACGACTGTATTATAGACTGATCTTTGGTCACTGTTTAATTTTGGCACCAGCTCATTGTGCTCTTTCATCAGCCCTTCCCTATCGTACCTCAATTCTTCGAGTAGAAGACGATTTTGTAAAATACCAATGACATCAGATGAAGGAACGGGAAGGCCAAAATCTCCCATTGATTTGGATGGAACAGCAGAACGGAGCATATTATCTAAATCATGAAGCAACTGTTGTTCAATTATGTCAGCAGTTGAACCAACATTCTTATCTGGTATTTGGAGTTTCAAGGTATGTAGATAGTCATCTTTCATCTTATCACATGCACTGTCCCATAGTAAACGTGGATTGCTGACCTAACAGAAAAGCAATAGGTGGCAGAAAAGGGATCGTAACTGTGATGCAGTTGCCCAGATGGAAGCTTCTGTGAAACAGGTAAGCCATTCAATGTCATCCCCTATCAATCCAAGTGCATTGCAAGCAGCCCGAAAGTTTGGGTAAACGGTACCTCGTACGGTGCGCAAATCTTGAAATGATGTACATCCCTTTTGGTGGCAGAGTAGCATCCGTAAGTAAAATAATTCGCCGGATGTAGGATGTACGAATACAATCCGACCTACTGTTTTTGACGAGTCATAAATTCTTCGGCTCCATGACTTAGATGACTTTTCCCATTTGTAAGATTTTGGATAATCCAGGTATGTCAAATCACGACCTGTTGCATCTTTTGCGTTACTTTCAAACCACGCAAGTAGGGTGGTAATATTACTGTTCGGATTTGATAGTATTTCAGGTATTGTGTTTTCTCCATTGAACAACAATTGTTGCATGTTTTCCTCATGTACAGTTAGAATCTGTACAGCTGGATGACGTTGATGTATACGGAAGTCTAAAATTCGCCATGCTGCTTCGTGCGGGCATATGTAGCGCCCATCCAAAAAGTTCTATACCTCGTTTATAGCACATATATCTTCATTTTCGGATCTGTTATGGCTAGTAGTGGGCAGCGCTGCAGATGACTGATTGGTTGATTCTGCCTTTTGGAGTGTGTATCTTATGCGATCAGCTCCTTTGGAAATATATTTGAACAGGTACTTAATCATCATATTCCAGCCACAGTATTCAACATTGATGTGTGCACGGAAATGGGAACAAAGCCTTTTATTGTAGGGCACCACATATCCATTGTCTACAACCTGTCCATATCGGGTAGTATGATGTGCATCTACGCTACGTTTGTACCGTACATATCCCTCTCTGTCAAAGAATGTACTGTCAACAAAGGGTCGAGGGAAATGTTTAGTACATTTACCATCCCTCATACATGGAGCCTTTTCATTAAGCGGTCCACACGGGCCATGAATCATGCAACTTGTTATCGTCTCGTACAATTCTACCTCGTTAATTGGATCCGACAACTCTGCTGTAATATATTTGTCAATATCAATTGGATTTTTTATTTTGTCTGAACTGTTTACCCAAAGTAAAGTATGACAATGCGGAAGACCTCTCTTCTGGAATTCGATAGTGTACAAATCTGTAATTATGAAGAAATTTCAAAATATTAACATTTAATATTTTTCTATTTCTAAATAAGTGTGTAAGCATACATTGAAGTTAATATCTAAACAGATACGAAACTGAAAAGATATAATATTTAATGGAATATAGATAAAAAAAAAACTAATAATAATAAAAAATATATATATTAAAAAACGTACATCTTTCAGATTGATATGGAATCTAATGTAGACCTGTTATAGTATGGAGAGAAGCGTATGTGAGCATAAAGTAAAAGCTCTCGTGAATGGCAAAGAACACCAAGATTTTATGTCTACCAAATTATAACTAAAAAAACATTAAGAAACACACTTAAAAACAAACTGTAGTAAATATGTTAACAATTTGTTACCAAAATCGAAAGACAAATGGTAGTAGATATAGAAAGCTATATGAATCAAATAAAATATGGATACTGTGAACAGTCCCATACTATTATAACATGACATCTTAATGATTTCATGCTAAAAATAAAAGGGAGATACAAAATTAGCATAAAAAAGATACCAATATATTAACAAATTTTGAAAATTCAATCAAATATACTTTTGCAAATAAGTGAACCAAATATTATATAATATGGAATGTAATAGAGTGTGTTAAAAAAGTAACAGATACAAAAAGTCAGACACAGAGCGAAAAAAAAGGAAAAAAGAAACCCATAAAAACTGAAAATTATCATGTAGAATGTGTAGGAAGATATGGAATGTAATGTATAGCTGTTATAATATGGGGAAAAAATTACAGTTAGAACTAAAAAAAAATGAAGTAAACAAAAAAAGAGAAAAAAAAAAAGTAAACTGTCAATCGCATAATTTATATACTTTGAATGTAATATATCATGTGTAGGAAGATATGGAATGTAATGTAAAATAAAATCTTCAAGAATGAACTAAAAGCTTTTATTGCAGCCAAATAACAGGAGGATTCAATATGTAACAAATCATAGCAAAAAAATTATTATAAAACACACCTAAAGCAAACACTAAAAAGTATGTTAATCATTTGTTAGTGAAATTCAAAGACAAACGGTAACATATGTACAAAGGGGTACCTTTGGAAATGATCTTTAATACAACTTATGTTTGCAAAGACATATAGCCGAATATGAATCAAATAAAATATGAATCATTTAAGCATTGGAATACTGAAATCACATCACGTCTTAATGATTTCATGGTAACGATTTCATGGTAACAATAACATTATATTTAAAATATATCTCAAACGAAGACAAAATGCAAAACATATATGCTTCAGCCTCACCAACTGTTTTGTTCTGTTTTAGAAACCGAACAAACTCATGAACTTTGATGTTGACGACTAAAGCAGTCATATGTGTTCTACTGTGGACATGTCTTTGCATATGTGTATGCACGTACTCTGTTATTTCTGTCCACTTCACATTACATGTAAAACGATAAACCATTGTGGTTTGACATAAACTCTACATATAGAAAGCAGATGAATAGGGAAATGACAGAAGAATTCAATTTCTACCAAATTATAACAAAAAAAACAATAAAAAAGAATGTTCAAAACAAAGGGTTAAAAATGTAAAAAACAAAATTGGAATACCAAAATGACATCACGTCTTAATAATTTCATGGTAAGAATAACATTATATTTAAAATATATCTCAAACGAAGAGAAAATGCAAAACATATATCGTTCAGCCTCACCAAATGTTTTGTTGTGTTTTAGAAATCTCTTTGCATATGTATATCCATGTACTCTGTTATTTCTGCCGACTTCACATGACATGTAAAATCGATATACCATTGTGGATAGCCATGGACCCTACATATAGAAAGCAGATGAACAGGGAGATAACATAAAAATTCAACTTCTACCAAATTATAACAAAAAAACCCACTAAAAAACATTGTTGAAAACAAAGGGTAAAAGATGTAAATAACTATATTAAAAACATATGCAAAAATAAATATCAAAAAATATGCTAACCATTTGTTATAAAGCTGGAAATACAGATGGCAACATATCTACAAAGGGGTAGATTTGGAAATGATGATTATTATGATTGATATCTACAAAGATATATATTCTACATGAATCAAATAAGCTATGCATTATGTAATCAATGCAACAGTGTTATAATATGACATCATAATGATATCATGATAAAAATCACATCATATTAAAAAGGTAGAAATCCATAAAAAGGTGAGAGGTACAAAACCGTGACAGACTGAAAAAAAAAAAACAGAAATAAAAAACTAAATAAAAACCAAATACTATTATCTACGAATAAAAAGGAATGTTTTGAATCTAATATACCATTTCGATCCAGATATGGAATGTAATGTATAGCTCTTATAGTATGTAACAAATGTGAGAGCTAAAAGCATAAAAAAATGTAATGACTCATAAAAGCATTAAAAAAAAGTAAAAATGTAAATTACTATATATGAGTAGATAGGTGTGCTTGAAAGCATCAACTGATCGAGTACATTGGGAATCTTCATGGATAAGAAGGAAACCATATGATAGCGTAAAGTAAACATTTTTATCAAATGATAATAACATGGAACTTGAAGCTGTACGAAACGATAACCAAAAAACATTAATAAACATAGGTAAAAACAAATATTAAAAAATATGGTAACCGTTCATTACAAAAATTGAAAGACAAATGGTAACATATCTATAAAGAGGCGGATTTGGAAAATATTATCTGTATGATAAATAACCCGTACATGAAAGGAATATGAAATCGAAAACATACATGCTTCAACCTCGCCAAAGGTTTTGTCCTATTTTAGAAACCGAACAAACTCTGCTGTGAACATCTCCTTGCATATGTGTATCCATGTACCGAGTTATTTCTGGCCATTTCACATTACATGTAAAAGTAATAAAGTATTGTGGATTGCCATACACCCTACATATAGAAAGTGCGTCTTGATAATGACTATACATGAATCGGGGACCACCGGTAAATGATGCTGGTAAGAATACACGTTTGCCAACAACACTTGCCTCCCTATCTCCCTTCGAAAGCGCATCATACAGGCCGCTAACATAATCAGACCGAAGATTAGATTGATGTTTTACAATGTAATCAAGACGACATTCTTCTATACATGTGTATGCATCAACCAAATATTGTTGAAAGAGCCGAGATGAGTTTACAATAGGAGACCAGATATGCTGACGGACATGAATTTGATAGGCATAATACATATTGACGGTAAGATTTCCAGCTGTTGCACCAATCCTATTTCCAATTTTCAAACGGGGTGACCAACCTTCTTCACCATATGGAAACAAAAGCGGGTATTGTAATGACATATAACTTGGATGCAGCTTACTGATACGTTGAGGCCGACCCGATTGCGAATGGATAATGATGTCATATGTTGTAGAGATTGTGTCATCACCAGTTACTATACAACCCAAAGACCCAGACGAAGGCAAATCATACCTACGATCCGCAACATTGTTAAAGAGTCGCACCGCATATGACTGTAAATTACTTTCTTCTGCTATTTGTTTTGCAGTCTTGAAGGTGCGCACATATTCGTTATTAGCCCCCAAAAAGTTGACCAGATAGCTGACAATGTTACAATCTAAATCGCTCTTTGAAGGATGATCAAAAGGCCTCAATCTGTTCTCTACTTCGTTCCCAGTATCAAAGAGGTATAGTTGCAGAAACCTCGGACCCTTTATAGGATCCGGACAGAGGGACCCAATCTTGTGGCTAATCTGACCAGATATCTTAAAAACATAAGGA